CTGAAAATGATGTGAAGGCATGACATCCATTTTAAAGTCTTAATATTTCAAATATGAAGGATGACAACCATAGCAATTCATCGGCAAGATATCAATTTGTAAAATTTGTAAGTTAAGCTCTAGATATCTTATCATAATGAAGAAAAGTTAACATGCAAATATTTTAAGTATATATGATGAAATACATTGCATACATTTGTTATCAATTTATCATATTTTGGTATTATTTCTCCCCCTTTGTCATCAACAAAAAGGAGAACAATTCAACAATGCAAGTATAGTGAAAATACATATCACAAAAAACATACCAATCATATTTCAAGCATTCATGACATGATATCCTTCAAACATTAAGGAGATAACTTTCAATAACTTCTTCCCTTTTATTTATCATCAAAACTTTGTATGAAGAAGGAAAGAAGGAAGGAAAATCCATTGAGAACCAACTTTGAATGAAGTTAAAAATGATAAAAGAGTTTCATTAAATCATGCTTCAATTTTCACAATGATCAAAATGTTCATGGGAAATCAAATCCTCATTCTTGTAAGTGTTCATCTCATAAAAATTTTTCCTTCATTAAGAAAGAATTCATGTGAAAGAATTATCATACGAAGGATAAGAGAAATTCCAAAAATTAATCTTCATAATGAAAGGAGCATCACATTAAAATCGTTTCTCAATAAAAATTCACAAGAGATAAATCCGAGAGATGCATTTGTCAATGACTTCCATGAATCAAAACATCAAGATATGTATAAATACTTCATGCATTTATAAAATATTTTGTCATAGCTTTTCATCATTACTTGCATGAGGCAATATCATTAATGCTTTGTAGTACTCAAGGATTAAGAATCTGATGTATGATTAAAACTTCTTAATATTCAATAGAAATCATAATCATCAAAGTAAACTTCATGCTATTGCATCATTGTATGATAACATGCTCATAATCATAGAAACTTTTAGCATCAAAGCACAAAATTTCCAATTTCAAAGTAAATAGGAAGCTTAACACTCCTATGAGCACCTCTACTAAGTTAGAAATTGATAAAAGTGGAGAAAGCTTTGATCAAAAAGCTTATAGGAGTATAATAGGAAGCTTATTTTACCTCACCGCAACTAGATCGGATATCATGTTTAGTATATGACTTTGTGTTAGGTTTCAATCTAATCCTAAGATATATCATCTTAAAGTAGTTAAGAGAATACTTAGATATCTTAAAGGAACCACAAATCTAGGATTATGGTATCCAAAAATTGAAAACTTTGAGCTAATTACTTATGCTGATACGGATTTTGCTTGATGTAGACTAGATAGAAAAAGCTCTTCAGGAACATGTTAATTTTTAGGACACGCACTTGTTTTTTGGACTTCCAAGAAACAAAATTCAGTTGCACTATCTATAACCGAAGCCGAGTACATTACAACTAGTGCATGCTGTGCACAAGTTATGTAGATGAAAAATACTTTAGAGGATTATAAGATTCATCTTAAAAATATCCCCATAAAATGTGATAACACAAGTACAATATATTTAACAAAGAATCTCATTCAATACTCTAAAACAAAACATATTGATATTAGGCATCACTTTATACGAGATCATGTCACTAATCATGATGTAATCTTAGAGTTTATTAATACAAAACATCAATTAGTCGATATTTTTACAAAGCCTTTAAGTGAAGAACAATTTGATTTTATTAGAAGAGAGTTAAGAATGTTAATATGTCCGAATGCATGAATCTGTTAAATTTCGGTTTCGGACCTTCTTGATTCTTTGATCACTCATTTAAATTCTGTACTAATAATTTTATGATACAAATTTTACATGATGATAAGGTTGTGTGCCTCAATAACATATTTATAAGGTTGTGTGCCTCAAAATCCAAGATTCAACAACAGGTATTATCACTCACGTGATTAGCTTGTAGGGCACCTATAACTAATACTCTTAAGTATTTATAGTAAATAAATAAATAATCACCTAAGCTATCTAATCTAATACGAGGGTAAAAAAAAAACATGCAACTAAATAAACCAATGGAATTTCAGTCCATTATGATTTCATAGCTATTATTGTCATATTTAAATCATTATCATTGTGATATTCTTCTAATGCACTAATAATATTAATACAAACAACTAAAAAATATGTGCAATAGATAATAAACCCTAGACAAAATATATATTATATTATTAGAAGTTTTTAAAGCTACAATAAAATTATATAATATTTTTTATATTCAAAATATTCTTTGAGCAATTCATACGAGGAATTCTATTGGGTAGGAACATTCCTAGAAAATCTTTTGGACCTTTTGCTATTTAATTTATAAAATCTAGCTCATTCTTTCATTACTTATGGATGACCCCATAAAAATTTAATAGGTTGTTAAATAGAAGAAAGAAAATTTTTAAGAGATTTAAATCCGTCTTGTGTATATAAATTCAAAACATGGTAATATCAGAAAAGATACCACTAAAAGTAGATTGACAAACTTTCTGTAATACCATAATCGAAATAGTATTTGCCACTACATTATCAAAACTGATAAAATTTTTAGAAACTAAATAACACTATTTTAAAATTATTTTTATCATTGTATAAATATTATTAATTGTATGTCATTCATCAAAAACTCTAAAAGAAATAACTCATTTTGCATGATTCACCCATTATCTATCTAATGACAAGTGACTCTCTTGTATTAGTACATTTACTATTGATCACTTCAAATATCAGCACATATAGAAACACGATTGTCTAAAGCTCCAAAAAAAATTTATAAATATTTTATATATATATAAAGATTATATAAAATGTAAGACTGGTACGAGGAACTCATTGTGCAATGAGATTTAAAGTCTTTTGACAATAATCAACAAATCTAGCATTTTCACTAAAACTAAAATATAAATATTCAATGATAATTATTCTAGCTAATGCTTCATATTTTTTAAATAAAAAATAAAAATAATGGGAGAAGTTTTTATTTTAAATAAAAATAAAAAAAAAGGTATCCAAAAATTTATGTTTGACTCCCTGGCTTGTGTTGGATGTTTGGCTTGCGTTGGATGTTTCTTCTTAGTGTGCTTTCAAAATGCTCCATATTCTTCTCTTTTGATTCTAAAAATTTGGCTATAGTAATTGTATATAACATGGAAAGAGCCATCGACATTGTGAACCTTCTTGAAGTGTAGCTTGAAGATGTCTGAGTTGAGTTTAGTCATCATATCAGTTTTCTTTGGATCGACTTCAACATTGATGTGTTAGCTTTCTTGAGTTGCTATGATCAAATTTTCGAAAGCCTCCTCGGGAGTAAAGTGGTGGCTTCCACTTACCATTGAATCAAGAAGAGAGCGTAAGAGAGAACTTAAGAGTATTAAAAGTCCAACGAGTGCTTAATCAAATATGTGGGAAAGAATGAGAGATTTATAGGGTATTTATAGGATTTTTAGATTTTTTTCTTGTACAATGCCCCCAAAACTAGCTAATATTTTATTATTGAAAATGACACATCTATCTTTTTTATTTTTTATTAAAAATAATCAAAATACCCTTGAATATAGTCATTTATACGACTATTAGGAGGGGCAAACTAGTCATTTGCCCCTCCATCAACTATTGGGCAAGCGTGGACTATTATTATGCCTGACTATTTGAGCTCAACTGTCGGTCAATATATTAGCTACTTTTTTTTATAAAGATTATCAAATCGATAATTCTTATTCTTGAATCTAGTTCCAAAATGGATGATTCTAATTTTCTTATTGGTTTCGGTTTAGTTTGAGACCAATAAATCGATAGGCCAATTCGATTATAGTTCCAGCCCATTTGGTTTTGGTTCAGTTCCAATTCGAATCGATATATGTTTAGGACTAGTATGAACCTCTTTTTCAATGTAAGGATGCCAATTTTTATGGTATTAAAAGTAGTAATAATCAGAAAAAATATTTTAGATTAAGATGGTTATAGAATATATTTCATTTTGATTCTGATTTGATGGTAACGTGACATCTTGTATATCCGATATATATTTAGGACTAGTATGAACCTCTTTTTCAATGTGAGGATGCCATTTTTTATGGTATTAAAAATAGTCACAATATTAGAAAAAATATTTTAGATTAAGATGGTTATAGAATATATTTCATTTTGATTCTGATTTGATGGTAACATGACATCTTGTATATCCGATATATGTTTAGGACTAGTATGAACCTCTTTTTCAATGTGAGGATACCACTTTTTATGGTATTAAAAGTAGTAACAATCGTCAGATTAGAAAAAATATTTTAGATTAAGATGGTTATAGAATATATTTCATTTTGATTTTGATTTGATGGTAATGTGACATCTTGTATATCATTATCCTATAGGTGTCTCCAACTCGACCGGTTGATATTTTATAAAGGTATATAATATTTATTTTCTTAAGTAAAAAATCATCTAATATTTTTCTTATCAATCTTATTATGATTCGATACGAGATAATTAATCTATTGACTTCATTAAGTCTAAACTATTAACTCAAAGTGTTTGAAGTTATCGTCAAGATCTAATATAGCCCTCCAATTGTCAAAACCTAGTTTGATAGAATAATTGATCTATTGATTTCATTAAACTTAAATTATTATATTAAAATATTTAAGTTCAAGTTAATAATAATATACTCATCTGACTCTCATAAGTTAATTTTAGTTTTATCTATTTTCGATATAAAACTAATTATGATGTTACATTTAGAAGGCATCCTCTTTTGTCGAAATCTTTAAGAACTTGTTCGATTCCTTATGAGAACTTGCATCTAATTCCATGTAAACGGCTACCAAATCGTAGTACTTATTCCATGTCAACATGCAACGATTATTCAGCCAACTTTGTCCTCCTTCGGATGTGAATCCAATTCGAGACGTTAGCTGTCTAGTACCCCAAGTTTGGAAGCTAAATCGTAGTGTTCGCTATAAGTACCCCAAGTTTGGAAGCTAAATCTACTTATCCCGAGCACCATTTGCTAGCTTTTGTCAGCCTTCTTTTCTCTACTAGTTGAGAGCTGTGAGAAAAAATGGCGACAGTCAAGGCTGCAAGACCTGCAAGGGTTGCTGTGGGAGAGAGAAAAGAGCCTGCCAAGGCCGGCGACGGAGCACCGAAGGCTCCCGTAGCGAAGCGGGCTCCCAAGAAGTCCAAGAAGAAGCCCCGGGAGCTGAAGAAGAAGGTACATCGGATTCCTGACTCTTGAAAGACTATTCATATGGAGAAAAAGAAAAGATA